CTTTTATAGTTCCATTTTATGCTCGTTATGTTGTTCTAGCCAATTAATGATTTGAATTTGAAAATGATAAGCCATAGATAAACATGCCTATATTTTGGTACATTGAAAAATTTTATGCAATTGGTAAACCGTGTCTGGTTGGCAAAGAACTTTCACACACCTTTATTCTTCATTTGATATGTTACCTTTGCAATTTAATTAGTCATCTTTCTAAATTTTAATTCCCAAATTGCTATTATTGCTATATAGTTTTATTTCTTTCTTTACTTTACAAAATGGAGTTTTATCGAACTTCTCAATTTGTTTAACCATTTCTCATGTCATACTACCAAAAGCAAAAAGTGACATGGTTTTGCTATTGAAAATTTTGTTCATTAGGAACATTAAGAATCTTCTAAGTTGCATTTACGAGATTCAATGGACCATCTCGATCTGTCTTTTTTAATTGTGATATAGGCTGCTGAAAGGGGATACTTGTCTGTTTTAAGTTGATGTTGTACTTTACGTGATGGTAGCTATAACCAAGCACTGGTTATTGTGCTCAGATTCTATGAGTGGAAAAAAGATGGTTCAAAGAAGCAACCTTACTACATATATTTCATGGATGGGAGGCCCCTAGTTTTTGCTGCTCTTTTTGATTCTTGGAAAAATTCAGAAGGTAAACTTGAAGTGATGGACATCCTGATATCTCTCTCAACTTATAGTGACACATGCAAGTTTCTGCAAGCATCATCCTTGTTATTGCCAACATTCCATTTATATTTGGATCATGTCCAAAAAATTGGACTCCTTATGTTGAGGATTACTGTCTTTTGTCTACAGGACCTGTTGATATTCATATAGTAGCTCAAGATGCGTTTGTTCTTCTCTTCATTTTCCCCTCTTTTGAAGCTTATGTTGGAACATGGTCTAAAATAGCAACAAGTCCATTTTTACTCTTTAGTCTTTATACTCTCTTTACTTTCTGCAAGATTGGTTCCTAATGCTTCCACATGCAGGTGAGGTCTTTTATACGTTCACAATAGTTACAACTTCATCATCATCCACTTTGGAATGGCTGCATGGTAAGATATACAAATGCTTTGTTCTTTTCTTGTAGCCTCTCCAGTAAGTTAATATATTTTTCTTTGTCTGATATTGGAGTTATTTATGCATAACTGGTTCTTTACATTGTAGACAGGATGCCTGTGATTCTGAGAAACAAGGAAGCAACAGAAATGTGGTTAAATGGTCGTTCATCATCTGATTTTGATACAATACTGAAACCGTATGGAGAATCAGATCTGGTGAGAATATCAATGAAATAGAAGAACGGTATTTTCTTTTTCATTTATGCTGCATGAATCTAAAATTGTACGAATTTTGTAGGTATGGCATCCCGTAACAACTGCTATGGGTAAACTTTCTTTTGATGGCCCAGAATGCATTAGTGAGGTACCGGTCATCTAGTTTTCTACTAAGATTTAATATAGCATGGTCAGCTGCTCCTCTGTCTTTTTCACTTGCAAGAGCACAATTGACTGACTGGAGAGTATTGAATGCAAGTCCATACTAATTTTATTTCTTATTTTATCTATGCGATTTTATGGTTTTCAACGATAACTTTATTCTACTAAAAAAGCATTCGCTCGTTAACAGTAGTCACTTTGCATATTATGTGTGTCAGATGCTGCCACTTTTATGCCGTGGGTTCTGATTTGTGTTGAACGTTAATGCGTTATCTTGGTTGCACTGCAGATACAACTGAAGAGAGATGAGAGCAAAACCATCTCACAGTTTTTCTCCAAGAAAGGAGCAAACAGTCAAGCAGACTCAAAAACTGAAAACAGAACAATAAAGGGAGAGCCAATGGGCTTGCAGGAGGAATCTGAAGCTGATGATTTAACCAACCATCAACATGTCACCAAATCAGCTGAGAATGACATTAAACCCGATTTTTCCAATCTTTATCGTGCTGAGGCTCTACATATTCCAGTAAAGCGAGAATACGAAGTATGTTCAAGTGATACAAAACACACTGATGATGAAAGTGAGAAGCTACATGAAAGTCCAGTAACAAAAAAGGTTAGGGGTGCAAGTGAAGAAACAATGGTGAAACTTGAGGAACAAACTCAGAAAACATCTCCTACCAAAACTCATAAGCCAGGTGCGAGTTCAGTGAGAAAGAAAGCTTCTAGCTCCGGTGACAAACAACCAACATTATTTTCTTACTTTGGGAAGTGCTAGAAGGATGTGGATACCCCCCTACTTTGGCTATAGCTCAACTGGTCATTGCTGAAAACTGTGGATAAATTTTTGCTTAACCTATCAAAGGAACCAGGCAAGATGCAGTGCAATTTTGGAGCCGTTTTGATTCTAGTTTTCCGGATCAGGCGCGTCTATTTCTGGCTATGGGCTATAGCCCTTTGTACTGTAGTCTCACGGTGAGGGTTTCATGGAACTCGTGTCGTTTTGAAGCTGTAAAATGAAGAATGTAGTACAAAATTCATTAGGAGTTTGTAGCTTACAAGGAAGGTAGTCCTGTTAACATATAATTTCCCATACTTTGCAGCTGTGCATCTGTCAACTTGTAAAGGCCATTTAAGCAAGTAATGGAGATTCAAACTATCTTCCCTTAGAAGATTAGTGGCGGGGCAAAATTAGTTGTTGATCAATGCCATTTTCACCATTACGATCCCATTTCCCTTGTAAAATGTTCAATTGCGGAACCAATATAGCGATGGTAGAAGTTCTTTGAGCTTTGCTTCCACTTAAAAAAGAAAAAAAAGAAGTGCAAAAATTCAAATTTATATCGCTAGATAGACCAAAAGCGGACTCCTGAACACGAACCAGGGACCAACAGCGCTTGACTACTTGCTAGCGATAAACATACATCACAGCAGTATTATAGTTTCTCCAAAAGTTACAAAATTGATAGTACTAACTGTCCTTAATCCATAACCAGAGATACAAACGCAGCAGGTCAGATCGATGATCCGCTCACTTCAAAATCCTTTGCTGCTTTTCAAAATGGAGCCAAGCGTCCCCAAAACGGCAAAAGCCAACAACGGACTGATATCTAAGGTATCGAAGATCGGAGGGATTATATTCCGGAAAAGATTCAAATACGGATCACACAGGTCCCTAATTGCAGACAAGGGCTGCCTATCCCAAGGTATATTGGGGAACCAGCTCAGCAAAACCCTAACCATCAAAACCCCGCTGTATATATCCAGCCATTTGGCCATCCCGGCTGCAACCACGGTGAACGGCGTGTTCAAAGTTCCAGTGGAAGCATCCCGAATTGCGGCGAAAAAAGCCGGGCCGGCGGAGTGGACTAAAGGCTCCGGCAGGCCATGAAAGCCCTTCAATTGCAGGCCCAGATTGAGAACCTTGTCGGCCAACAGCTTGGGGGCCGTTAGAGCGAGAGCCAACAGCGTAGTCACTGTCCGAGTTGAACCTGTGAGCAAAGATAGAGCGGGGTTCTGGTAACCAGAGGTTTTGGCAGATGAGTTACTGAGGAGGGTCGACGAGGAAGCGGTAATCATTGCCGGCCTTTTAGGGTTTGCGAGGGCGACGGAAAGCCTCAGAGGATAGGCAGCGGTAAGGTTGTTCGGAGAAATAACGGTAGGTTTTCGGAAGATTAAGGTCTGTGAGGCTACGAGGGAAGAAGCCATCTGGGTTTGGCTCGAACGAAATCTCCGGATTCTGAGTACTGCAGTGCGGAGTCGATTCTAGACTTGCCCAAGATGTCTTCCTTCAATTGGGTTTTAAGTAAGTATTCCGAGTCTTATCTATTCTTTTTTATATTCCAATAAGTAGTACTTTACTTTCCAGACTCAGGCTCAGGAATTGGTGGTGTTATTTCACCAGTTACCGTCTTTGCACAATTTTATTCGATGGGCCTCATTTTTTGAGACCTCCTTTGCACCTGCTTGCCACAATCAAAATTTCACACAAGTAAAGTCTTACAAAACTCCTGATATGTTTCGATTGTGAGAAAAAATCGAGAATTTAAATTGATCTTTCTCAGTATGTTAACTTTTTTCTTTTTGGGTAAAATCAGATATAAAGTATGTGTTAATTGGTTCTTCCTTCAGAAGCCATGAACTTAATGTATCTCTATGTGCATTATCATGTTAACAGCGTGCATTTTCCTGTAGTACGTAAGTTTCAGTTCATATTTGGATAGATTTGATTTTCAAAAATTCAATGATTCAAATTAGCACGAGAGAAGTCCAAAATAGTACTAATCTCTTCAATCTTTATCAATGCTCATTTTTCAGTTGGTATACTATGTTTGAATTGCATTTTTTTGAAGAAAAATTACTGTAATAATTTGATATATGCGAGATAAAAATATAATTAAAAAATATATTCACGAAAACGCACCTCATTGTGTGACAATGATATGATCAAATGTACAATAGGCAAAAACAAAGGCCTGATGTGCCTCTGGCAACAAGCAACTCCCGCTTCCCATTTCAAACTGTGGATACATTGAAATTTGAAACTCATTCCTTCAACCCTTTTTTTTTATCAGCAACGACACATTTGTATAACCTACTCTATTCTAATTTAGGGAGGGGGAGAGGGGGAGCCTAAGGAGGCTGTAATAGGAACTAGTTTAGGGAGGGGGAGGGAGGGAGCCTAAGGAGGCTGTAATAGGGATTAGTGGGTATAATAAACCTAACTAGATCAAAGAAATGCTATGACATAATTTTTAAATTTTTTTCGCTCCAGTGAGATTTGAATCCTTCCTCCCTTTGGCCAGTGAGTCATTGTCCCAGTGGTTGAAACTTACTCCTCGACAGAATTGACTTTTATTTGCACTTCAATCTCCAGCTCGCCATATTCGAGTACAGGGCAGAGTGGAGAAACTATAGACAGCTAGCTAGTAGATTACAACTACAACCAGTCGATTTTTGTTTGGATTGTGAATTATTAGAGATATTTTTACTGTAACACTTTTTATGATGTGATATATATGAGATAAAAAGATAATTGGAAAGATAAAAATATGTGTTAAAAATTATAATGATGATGTAAGCAAATATATTTTAACAAATAAATCGCAATCCAAACAAACCCCAAAGGCACCGAGTGGGCGGTCACTTGTTTGCTGTGCCCAACGGCGCCCTCTAGCAATACCTCTAACGTACGTACGACTTGACAAATCAAATTTCGTTAACTAATTGATCTTCCACAGTAAATGCTATACTGCTATACCTGATCGACGTAGTATAAAATAGTAAAATACCATATATGCATGCGATAAAAAGGCCTTTAGATTTAAATTCTTCAAACCTCTTTCATTTCATGCCATTAGAGACTGGGATTGGAAAAAGTGGACGGCATTCCCTGCTTAATGCTAGAGCCAAAATCCGCCCTCTCCAAACTAACTATCAAACTGGTACAGGATTTATTATTCCTTGTTCCTTTCTCGGGATATGACTGTTACTCATTTGCTGCAGATCTTCAAAACCGCCTCAAAATCGTGCCAATGGTCCCCAAGACAGTGAAAGCCACGAGCGGACTAAGATCCAAGGAATCGAAAACCGGCGGAATTACACTCCGGAAAAGGCTTAAATATGGATCAGACAGGTCCCTAATAGCCGATAAAGGCTGCTTATCCCAAGGTATATTGGGGAACCAGGTGAGCAAACATCTCAGCGACAATACCCCAACGTAGATGTCAAGCCACTTTGCCATCCCACCTGCGAGGATAGCGAATGGGGTGTCTAATCTTACGGTAGTGGGATATTCGCCGATTGCTGCGAAGAAAGCAGGACCCGCTGAGGAGTAAATTAAGGGTTCTACTTGTGGTAAGAGGCCATAAATGGCCTGAATTCTGCCGGCCAATAATTTTGAGGCTGCTAGAGCGATTACCAAGAGCGTAGTGGCGGTCCGAGTTGAAGTGGTGAGGAGTAAACTGGACGACGATTGAGGAGGGGGCGAGTTTTTGTTCTGAGATTTGTCGGTGGATGGGTTATGGTGGACGGGCGCCGAAGAGGAAGAAGCGATCGTTTTTGGCTTTTCACTTGGAGGAACGGAGACAACCCGCAGCAGCGGCTGCGTAGGACCGGTTGAGCGGTGGGCGTTGGGGGCAGAAACAGCTGCCGTGCAAGTTGGTTGGCGGCAAGATATTATGTTTGGATGTTTTCTTGGCAACGGAGGAGAGATCACGGCTGTGGAGATATATGGAGAGAGGACGGCAGGGTTTTGGAGGACTATGCTTTGGGAGGCCATACCAAAACCTCGAGGTTCAGAAACCTTCGTGACTTTCGGGGTGTCGTAGGGAGAAAATTGCGAATCAGACGCTCAGCCCCTTTCAAGAGCCTCCTTCCTTACCAAGCCTTGCTCTTAAAAGCTTGACATATATAACAACTCAACTCACGGAATCTCACTCTGATCTAGTCCCACTTAATCAATCAAGATGTTCAATTTTTTATTATCAAACCAACTAAATATATTAACATCTAAATTCATTAATTTTACTCTAATTATCCATCCTCCCATATAACAACTCAACTCACGGAATCTCACTCTGATCTAGTCCCACTTAATCAATCAAGATGTTCAATTTTTTATTATCAAACCAACTAAATATATTAACATCTAAATTCATTAATTTTACTCTAATTATCCATCCTCCCACCAAAAGTGAAAAAAAAAATCAAAAAACTTGTTTTAGTTTGGCATCAGCTATCTTTTTTTTTTTTTTTTTTTTTTAAATCCTCCTGCCCCTCTCTGCATCCTTCCTATCATTCCATGTCTAAATAAAGATTTAGCAAATCCTAATAATTAAAATTAATTAGGGAGTCAAACGTTCAAAATACAAAGATCTTGCAAGAACGTGTACTGTTACCTGCAGAAGATATGTGTACTTTCTAATTAGTATACCTTTTAATATTAGTATTTATCGTGTTCTAGCTTTTAGAGGAGGATAATTGCTTAAACACTTCAGCAATCTTAAGGCAATCTCTGAAGTTTTGGGATACTTCAGTGATTTAAATTTTAAACTTTTGAAGTTTTACAATCTAGCAGCAAAAAAAAAAAAAAAAAAAAAAAAAAAATCCCCCAACTCATATCCATTTTTACTCTTAAAAGAATGGGATCTGATTTTTTTTTTCACTTATAAAAATGATCACACATTTTTACTCTTAAATTCACTTTAAAAGGTGAATTTAGACTAAAAAATTGTCAGAAATTTGGGTTGGAACCAAATTTAACCAATTTGATTTTGTAAGGAATGTAAAATCATTATTTTAAAAACAAGGAATTGAAAATTTTACTTGTCAAAATGTGAAAAATGTCTTGAACGATTTTCACAAATGCTTAAACCAGCATCTTGGCCAACGGCCACCCATGAAGTTCTCCACCTTGCCTTGGTGGTTGGTGCTCCCAAACCAAGGCCCTTGAAGCTAAAGGTCACCCTTAACACTGTTCAAAAGGCTTTAGATTACTAATTACAGAGCATGCAATCTTGAATTCAAGATCACCGATGCAATTGGAAGAGTGCTTAAACCAAAAACCAACAAGAGAAGTGATATACTAAGCTAGACAGCCACGAGGATTAGCATCTCTGCAATTGCACATCCTTCAAAATTAAGAAAAAGATGCCTGGCGATGTAGATTGAGAAAACAAACTTGTTAACAAGAACATCAATAATGTACATATTTCCTCTCACTTCAGAGAATTAATGAAAAGCAAGAAATCACAAAAGCAGTGTCAACGTTGGATGACACTAGGATTTAGCACAAGGGAAATATCTGGGGACGAAGGAAGGGTAAAGACCAGTGATAACCCTCTACCAACCGCCCGTTGGTGGCCATCTCCATGATTAGCTTATGCAGCGCGCGGAAGGGGCTTAACACCACCCTCCAATGCACCACCTGGCGCGAACCAAGGCAGAACCCTCTACGCTTACTCCCTAACCGGATGCTGCTGCCCTTGCGCCTTCTTTGCCCTCGGCGTGTCCGGCACCAGCCTACCACCGCCGTGGAGTTGGAAAATAAAGAAATGGTTATGCCACCTCTCCTAAGTAGCATTCTGAGGATGTTGCTGCGCTGTTCTTTTGGCTAAAGTGCCATGGGACAAACTTTTGCAGAGGAGTTAAATATATATAGTATCAACTATCAAGCAAAGCTGATGGATCGTGAAGTTAGTTGATGATGAATGTCATTATGATTGTAATTATGACTATCATATTCTTTCTGCGGTGATGCTAATGGTCGAATATAATAATGGTTCAAAAGCGGGAATTTTTCCTTTTGCCATCTTTAGAGTTGTGGGTGTAATGATTAGGCAACGGGTGCTTTTGCTTAATAACTGTTTTAGGACGAATTAAAATATCACATTAGAAATTTTTGCACCTAGCTACGTGTTCCCATAAGCACCAAAGAAGACTTGACAAAACCTATTAGCAATATGCATGATAGAGCTGGTTGCCTTTCTCTTCGTCTTTTTATGCAGAGCCCTAGTTAGATCGATTTGCAAATGGCATCGAAGATGGAGTGAAAATGGAAGAGATTTCAATAATCCTTTTTATTTGAATAATAATCATAAATAGAGCAGCCAGTAACCAATGAACTCCGGATTAATTATTTATGTACTATTTCAAATAAGATGAAATTTTCATGTACCACTTTCATGCAGAAAATCCACCATGTTATGCAGCCCTCATTAAAGAACTTTGCTACAAACGCGCCTGAGCCGAAAGGATCGACTAGAACTAAAGCAGGATTAAAAATCTATGTAAATTAATGATGATGTATATTTTGTTCTAATTTCAATCACTTGATTCCTTTTGACTATTTTCAATACTTGTATTGATTTGATTGATCGCAATTACTGATATTGTTAACAAAGATAACAAGATAAAATATAGTGTAAACTAATTAATGATAATGTATCATTTTATTTTATTTCAAATATCTTGGCACGTTTCGACCACTTTTAGTACTTTGTCATTGATTTGTAAGTTCTCTACGCTGTTAATTCTGTTAACATTGTGATTGATTAAATTTAAATGGAACAAATTTAAGAGTTTATGGTGCAAAGTGTTCAAAATTTAAAATAAAAGGATTAATATCTTTTTTACGCTTACAATGCATTATAACTGCACGTCTTGCATAAATAAGTGTTTATGATTCAACGATAATAATATATATACCGTCACATATACGGCAGAAATTTACTCAGAAGATACACACTCGCTTTCCCTTTTTTAAGGTCACCAGTCGAAGTTAGCCTACCAGTGGCTTCCTCGTTGTCATTCAAAGCCCGTCAGGTTTAGCCCGCCCACTCCCTTGGAGTATATAGTTTACGAGTCAAATATTAGAATGCATCGGCCCCTTAATAACCTTCGTGAACGATTTCTAGCCAGTTAGTTTGCACGTAGTCTCCAAGTTAGAGATACATTTTCAGCATCTCTCCTTCTCTGCTTGCTTATGTCTGAGTTTCCAAACTCCGAAGCCCAGACCAAGACCAGGAGAAGCAAACAAGTTAGCCACCTTTCGCTAGTCCTGTCAAAAATAACTGAACAATTAAAATTTGTGTGATCTCACCATCAAGCCAATGAACCTTGCATAATTTATGCTTTAATCATCTGGATAAAGTAGAATGTTTTGTTAAACTCGTACGCATCGAAGGGACTTCATTTGTTTGCACAATTTGATGTTTGCACACACAATTATTGTGTGATTACATTATAGCATACACAATTTGATGTTTCCATCAATTAGTAGAGTAGTGACTAATGTTTCCATGTTTGTCCCTAACGTTGTTTTTCAGCCAAGAATCAAACCGACCGTAGAAGATATAAGCTGGCTGCCGGGGAACCATCCCCACCGCACGAATTCAACAAATTTATCCAAATGCATATTTTCCTTTCAGTTTCAGTATAGCTCAATTCTACAAGTCAAGTAGTAGTAGCAAGTAATTTGCAGCGTTAATCTTCGACCGGGAAGACATAATATATTTCACATGAATGAAGCACGTTGCTCTCCCTACTTAGTTTAATGATTATTAGTTTAATGATTAGTGATCGTGGAAAACAAGAAAGGAAACTAGTAGTGTAATCTTTTTCTTATCTTTTGATAAGAGGAAATTCAATTACTACGCCAACTTGAGGTTGAGGGGAAACAAATTAATAATATAAAAGAAACAGAGAAACCACAATTTGCAGCTAGCATTGATTAATGCTGCCGGAACATTCATGTCTTATGCATCTGTTCAGAGTTGCCCGGAAAGAGGGATTCTGTTCGACCGCCAAAGCAGTCACAAAATCTCCCAGAAATTAATGCCAAAATAAACACCATCCGTCCCAGAAAAGCCACACTCCAATTAAAACTAATAAGCCTAGAAAAAAGTCTATTTCCTGTACTGCAAAAACTGCCATAAAAACCTGCACGCAGGACCCAATACTTTCCATTGGAAAGCAAACCAACAACTGGCCACCCCCAACCCCCCAGCCTTTTTTTTTGGGGTATGTGTGATATGAAACAGCTGGTCTTCTTCCCTTCTCTCTCTTTTTTTTTTTTTTGGTAGAAAATCAACTGATCTTCTTGATTCTTGATAGTAGTAACTAGTAAATCCCGCAGAATGACAGGAACAAGTTGTAGTATTACTAGTTTACAACTCCTGCTTCTTAGAGCCACCGTCAACATTCACCGGATATTTGAGGGCATTAAGTTCCACTTTCCTAAGGGCGGCTTTACCAAGGTCAACCCCACAGACATCTGAGAGTCTAACGAGGTAGAGTAACACGTCTGAAAGCTCCTCCCCCAGGTGTTGTTTCTCTTCATCCTTCCAGTTTGGCAGTCCCTTTGGAACCTCTCCTTTCCACTGGAATATCTCAGAAAGTTCCCCCATTTCTCCAACCTGTTTCACAGTAACAACAAAATCAAGGTTACCGCTGTTCTGACTTTGTCATATTCCTGTGTTGTCTTGGCCAAAAAACAAAAGCAAAAGCAAGTAATGGAGTTGGTTTTTCAGGGTTTGGATCAAAAAGAGAAAAAGGGATGTTCTATTTACATGTTGGCAGTAAAATTTTTTACTGTAGGAAACTAAAAAAAAAGGAAAACATCAAACAGCAAACAAATCATGCAACTTGCTGTTCCTCCGTTGCCATGTTTTCAGCTCAGCAACATCTAAAGATGAAAAGAATTGAAAGCTAAGCTTTGTACTAGAGACAGTCACAAAGATGTACTATTAAACAGGGCTCTCGATTCGAGTAATTACCAAAGCCAGGAGAAGATTTCTGGGGCTGTGGAAACGTTCCCAATCTCTTTCCCTAGCAAAGTCGTCCATTTTCTTCGTGAGAAGATCAAGAGTCACCCGCTCCTCTCCTTCCTTAAGCCCTGTCATCTGTGTTTTACCCTGATACCAGCACCAAAAACACACTTCAGGAAAGACTGCTACACAAATGCAAGTGCTGCTAGGTAGTTCAATATATATATATATAAGCAAAGCCAGCCAAGCATACGACGGTCTAAAGTGGATTTCTCCCAGAATAAATATATGAAAATCATTTTTGTTTTCTTTCAAGAGGGCAAAAATATATATTGAAAATCATTTAATGCATTTAAAATTTGGGACACTGAATCATGCTTTTATTGCATCGAAAACGATATTTATGATTAAGATACGTAATGTATTATTAGTTGCTGATGTAGTATTATTTTGAATCACATAAGAGTAGAGTAAGGAAATGGGGGCATTTTGAGGCAATTAGACAGGGAGGGGATCAGTATCACCCTAAAGATAGATAGATACTACGTACCATTGTGTGGAGTATATTGAACATTCAATAGTTTTCAGTGCTTCGAATCAATGGACAGACATTAATCACTAAAATCTGTGTAATTACTCTAAGAAGTTAATGGTGTAGATGCGGTTAATTTGGGATGCGACGAATGAGAGAGATTAGTTGTGATATAAATTTTCCAATAAGCAACGAATTTTATTGTATTTTTATACGCCCATTGTCTTAGCATTTATTTTTATACGAAATTGGTTGCATTTTTTATTGCCTTAGCCTTCATTTTTAATTACTATCTATATTTGTTTTTCCGTATTAGAGCATAGGTGGTATGGTGCAGCTAATCTGCCAGGTCATACTGGGCTGGCATTCCTTGTTGGACGACGAACAGATGTCAATGAATCAAAACTGGCCTTGGCACCCGGGAGGGAAGCCTCGTGCACGCAACGCATGGACCCATTTGGCCTTCTCGGCTGCCTTCTTCTTTTTTCAGCAAACGGGCTAACATTTTTAATGTTAATATAAAAACTTGATAACACTACAAGTTTAGCATTACCATGTAAGAGCAAGTGCCCCAATATATATATATCATCTTCTGCACTCTTTTTGAGCCACATGGGTAAGAATTCTCCCCTCCTAGCCATCCCCAAGCTTTTAGAATTTCTCTCTTCCAGTCTCTGGCTACACTAACTAGGGGTGCGAATCGAAATCGAAATCGGTAATTCGGAACTTTGAAATCGAAATTTTGGTATCAGAATTTTCGATCGAATTCAATTCGAAATTCGATAAATTCTGATTTCACCGAATTCATGAATATAAAAATGATGATGATTATTATAAAAATATTATATTACATATGTATATATATATAAATATTATATATGTGTGTGAAAACGAAATTGAAATCGAAATAGAAATTCCGATTTCACCGAATTTATGAATATAAAAATTATTATTATTATATAAATGTTATATTATATATTATATATATATATATATGAAAAACAAATTTGAAATCGAAATAGGAATTTCGAATTCCGATTTCGAATTGTGAATTCGAAATCAGAATTTCCGATTTGAAAAATCTCATTACCGAATTCGACCAATTCGAAATCGAATATTCCGATTTCCATTCCGAATTACCGAATTCAAAATTCCGAATTTAATTCGAATTCGATCAGTAGTAAATCGAAATTTTTCGATTTTGCACACCCCTAACGCCAGCCATACCAGTCCTTCGTGTTAATCATGATCACTCATCTCCTTGGTGGTTTCCATGTCCTGCACTCTATGATTTGAGATGTCTCAGCAATATGCTTTTTACCATTAAGATGTTGGACTTCCATGAATTCCAGCCATTCATATTCATCATGAACTCTCTCTACAATCTTCCTGCTATCTGTACATTTCTCAGTGAATATTTTACTGTCCCTGGCTTTCCAGATTAATTTGCCAGAGGATGTTAGCTGTTAAAGCTGTATGTTCCTGGCGTTGTTGGCTATTAAAAGAAAGTATTCTTGGATGGATATGGGCGAAGCGGGTTTCCACGAAGTCTAAGGTGCCGGTCTCCCGAGGACCGTCATTGTAATTAGCGGATATTCATTGGTGCAAACTGCAGGTGGCATCGCATGAATTTTGTCCAAATAATTATGGTGTGTTGAATGAAATGATAACCAAATTAAAAAATAAAAAACAAGAAAGAAAGAGAGGGAAATCACTTCTTTTTTTTTTTTTTTGGCCAAGGTCTTGTATAACATTCTATATCTAGATTTGGTACTTGTAGGAATTGAATTTTGAACGTTGCCTCGTGCTCATATTTCATGTTAGTGTATATATATATATATATAAAGAATAGATGATTAATCTCATTCCAAAGTGAGCGCTAATAACAGGAAGTATATCAAATTAAACATGACACAAATGCATAGAGATTTAAAAATCAAATGATACAACAGATCTAAAAATGATGACAATATTGAAACCCCAGAAGAGGAATATCATTACAATTCGATAAATCTATGTGCATATGTAAAGAGGAATTAAGATCTGACATAATATGTGAGGGAAATTCTGATTAAATCTACTAAATTTCTCAAATCTCACAAAAAAGGCAAAAAAACAAAGAAAAAAAAAACTCTCACAAAGATATCGTAGCAACAAATAAAATTCCTACTAAAAAAATTAAGAGGAAAGAATATTTCATTAGGAAACCTTACGAAAAATTTATTCAAAATAAAAGAAATAAAACCTAAAAGAGAAGGCTTCATAAGTCCAAATTGTATGATCCATCTTCCATGAGAGACCTAAATGAGATTTTGATGGAAGAATTTTAGAGAAAATGAGAAAAAAAAAAGAGTTTTAGTTTAGGATCCAAGCGCGGAACAAACAACTATTAAGATATCAAGTACACAATAATTTAATGATAAAAAAGTCACAGGCATGAAAGATAAACGACACGTAATATTTAACGTGATTCGATTTCATCATTGAGTCTACGTCTGTGGAGAGAAATCCGATCTTTATTATAAGAGGAAAATCCTATATAAAAATATAATTTGAACCCAAGTTTAACCCTTATATACCATCTCTCATCTTCTAAGAATCCTCTCTTACCACCCATGTCTAAGGCTATATGTTGCCTCTTATGTGTCTTTTATGTATTATGTCAACTCACCTATTTACAGAGAATATTATCTGGTCAAAAATCAAATAATAATTGAAACCAATTCTAATTCTTAAACTTGTACAAAATAGGAAATAACTTCTAATGCTAAACAAAATGGAAAATTTCTTGGCTACTATGTCAAGTAACTAAAATCAATTAAAAATTAGTTACTTTCACACAAAACAAGAAATTTATCTAAAAAATTAACCCAATTTCCTAACATTTTAAAGGAGAGAGGAGGAGGATGGGCATGAAATATCATATGATAGAATTCAAGTCTTCATGTTAATAGCCCCGCGTTTGCATTTGGATGTGCTAAAGCGCTTTTCTTGCATTTCGAATTCGCAGTTGCAATGATTCGAAAACATTCAGTACAAAGGACAATATTATTGGATTTATTAAAATTAATATCTTAAAGATGCCCCAAATTCTGTTTAAACAATTCAAAAACTCAAGAAAGCCCAAATTCAAGAATCATTTCTTCAGCTAATCCGTATCCCGCAGATTATGTGCCAAGTACTCAACACCAGGATATCTTGAGAAAAATGAGTATTCGAATTTTGTCAATCGTAAAATCCGAGATAAATATGTCCTCTGGGCGGGTGGAAACATTAAACGACATACATTTTCCTTTATTCGGTAGATCCCAATTTCTGATTTCCAAAAAGATACTTCAGAAATGTCTCCCGTGGATGTCACGTTTGGTCCAAAACGGGATTCTTGACTGATGGAAGATTCTGTCAATTGTCACGGTCGGGATTAAGCCTTAAGGAGGGATTCTTTACGGCGGGCCGACACTTCCTTTTGCTTTGGTTATGGGTACAGACCAAAACTTTGTCGATAATGGATAACAAATCAATTTGACAAAACATTTATCAGAAAAATTGTTTTAAGAAATTGCCCAAAATCCAAATGTTGCTTTCACCTGGTTAACTTCAAATTAGAAACAGCAACTTATTTCTATCAACTACGCTAAAACAAACAATTATGCAACCAGAAATTAAAGTTTTAAAGAAATCTAAGCCAGAAACTATTGTTTCTAACGTCCGACTGGGACTGCATTTTCACTATAGCTGGTTCGACTGATCAGATCACTCTACACGCAAAGCAGTAGTAAAAAAAAAAAGAATAATAAATGAAATTAGGATAATACGATCTAATAACATTAACATCCAATAAACACTTAAATTTGAATCTGTTATAATTGGTATAGTCAAAATTAGCGGAGTAATTTAAGTCCGAATGGTCTCGTTTTCCTGTATAATCCACGTCTATTTTACGATTTACGACTAATTCTATTCGAACTGCATGGGTCCTTATAGAATAGCTCTCCCAATATATTTATTTTTTCCATTCCCATGGGTTTCAAATCCTAAGGCCTCGTGCATCATGTTTTCTTTTGTTTTGCTCTGGAAAAGCCTGCTTGTTACAAATTTGGTTCGGTTTTTGCCTAAATGGACCACACAAGAATAGGAGACAATAATATGTTTTCAACCCTGTGGACGCCTGGATCCAATGTTTTCACCGGGTAAGAGTTGCACCCATTTTTGCATTTATGTTTACTTCCCCCGATCCATATTAGTACATGGAAGATTTAAGATGGAAAAGGACACTTGCTTTCTGCCTTGTCTATTTGTAGTCTTTTATTGCCCTCCGGCCAAATTTGGTAGGTTTTGGTGATCAGGCAAATTGCATAATACTTGCTATATGGCACTATTAATTTCTAATCAGACCACAATTAGGCAATGAGTTTGGCATGGCTAGGTTGGCCTTTTCATTTCTGTACTTCAAGAAAGTTTTTCCTCCACCATGATTACATATTTGCAATCTTTTTTCCTCATCTTTTTTTTTTTTTTACATATAAAATCCTTTTGATGGGGGGGGGGGTGGAGGGAAGCTAATATCCAAATCCTAATTGAATCCACCTAGCCAATGCATGAAATTGCTACAAGATTTAGCGCATGTGACCATTGGTGACAAATGCATATTTTTGGGGGCCACTTTCATGTGC